ATGTGTAGCTTGATCCTTTGATCTTGAAGTCTGAGCCCCTCTTCCACCTGCCGAAGTTCTTGCAAAGAACACATTGGGGCGAGAGGAGTTTGTGCAGAGAGAAAGTCTCTTTCGCTTTCTTGCAGTAAGTGAAGGGGGAAGGATGGAGCCAACACACTAACTGCTGACTGCTTTTAAAGTGTTCCCAGGGCACTGATAGCTTCCTTTAGATAAGTTATCGATACAACTGTGTGGGATCAAGTCTTCACAGTTGTCACTGATGTGTCACACCAGTTTGGGGAGTAAACAATTCTGTACGTAAAGCTATTTTCAAAGTATCCCTGAATGGAAGGTGTGAATTATTGCAGGGGTCCTTGTTGTAGAACATTTGGTTAACTGGGCAAAGAGGTGTTACATTGGTTTATGCTACATTTGTTTAACTATGTAAAGATGTGTTGCATTTGCGTTAACTAAATAAAATTAACCTGAGCTCAGAGAGGCGGGGTAAGCAACTAGTTTACAGGAAGGAGCAGAGAGGAGTACAGTATGTTTTGTTTTTTTTTTTAATTTATTTATGTTGGGGCGGTGTGGAAGGAGAGAGGTTTCTGGAGACAACAGCTAAGAAAGAAAGTTAGTTTGTTGCTACTCTCTCTACTCTAAGCTTTGACTTTCTAATTTTACTAGAATAGACTAGAATTCCCCTCCAGGCTACAGTCTGAGCAGTTGGGCCACTAGTAATAATAGTAGACTTTCATTTTCTCGGGATGTCAATCAACTGGCTCACCTCTCCCATTCATAAAGCCGCTGCAGTTGGTTCAGTGCCGGTTTGAAATCAAAGCTGCGGAGAGAAAAGCCGTAAGAGGCGTCAAAGCATCTTGTGATTTAAAGCCTCGGTCCTGAGCTGGACTGTGTTGTTCATTGCCAGCCCTTCCGTGTGGCCAACTCTTTCTCCCTCTCATAGGCCATCAACACCTCCATCAAAAGTAAGATCCCCTGCGTGGTGGTGGAAGGCTCGGGGCAGATTGCCGACGTGATTGCCAGCCTGGTGGAGGTGGAGGATGTTCTGACCTCTTCCATGGTCAAAGAGAAGCTGGTGCGATTTTTACCACGCACTGTGTCCAGGCTGCCCGAAGAGGAGATTGAGAGCTGGATCAGATCTGTGAGTTTGGGGAAGATGCTGGGGGTTCCTGGGATGGAAGAATGTCTCGTGTTCTGTTGCTAGGCACTCTTTACTAATTCCCACAGAGCGGGACCTTAATGGCCTCCTTTAATTTACCTGAGAGGGTGGCTCGCTTTGTAAACCTGATGGGATGGTGGGATCCAAGATGGTCAGAAAACAAGCCCTTTCTAGATTAAGCTCCATTGTCTAAAATTTGGAGCCTAGAAATATGGTTGAATTTCATCTCTACAACTGAGAGACAGCACCTGCGCTGGACTAGGCCTTGACTAGCAATGGTTTGTACGATCTCCCTACTGAGACATTGCGTTTTTTAGATTTTTACACCAAAAGGTAAAACTGGTGGTTTTGGAAGAAATTTCTTGCAGGGATTTTTTTTTTTTAAGTAACATCTAAGTCTATCACAGACTCAGGTGAATGGAGATGAAGATTGTAATTTATGGAAGGTGAAGGTAAAGTTGAACAAAGAGGCTGAGAGGCATCCAGCCATTGGCATCCTTCCTTGTGCTGAGTCCCAGAGTGCGCTGGTTGAGCCCACACATCACGGTCAGTATGTGATAAACACTGGCCTCCTTGCAGCAGAGCATCACACTCTGCAAACAACCGATACCAGTGAAGATAACTATCAAAGATTCGGCTCAGGAAGGTCAAACCTGCGGTCTATCTGGAGACAGTGAAGAGGTGGGGAGTGGCCAGGTCACTCATCCCTTGATAATCTTTCCACATGGAAATCCATAGGCAAGGGTGCTCTCTCTCTGAAGTGGAAATACTGTATACCTGGATAGTTTTAGTTAATTTGTTGCATGTTTATTGTCCCTCCCTATTTCCTGAGGTGGATAAAAATAATTCAGTAGCCACTATAAGGATACCCAGAGAGGTATAGAGAACTATTAGTTTGTTTACCTAGCACAGGCCTGGGTCCATTCCAGTAGGTTTCCTTTTTAACCCTTCTACAAGTTGACACCTGTCGTCTGGTTCATGTTACATCCAAAACCCAGGACAGTCCTAATGGTTCCTCCATTCTTTGTGAGGGATTTGGATTTCTACTTCAAGGAAACCATCACAGGCATTTCGTCTTAAGCTAAATGTCAGGCTAATTTGGCTGCCTTTGATTATATTATCATTCCTGTGATTCATATCTAATTTATATTCACATCTAATTAAATATATTTATTTCTAATCATGTCAACCAGAAGACATACATAAAAATGGAAATTACTCTGGCATTTTAGCTATGTATTCATATGGAGTTGTGAAATTGGTACAGATTTCCCAAAAGACCAAACTTGAGAGTAGGATTATTAATTAATAAATATGTAAATCAGTGAACTATATAAGCAGCCTACCAATGTAGTCTTGAGTGACCACGTTAGTCATGTGGATGACTGATCACCAAAGCTGAACTCATTGTTTCTCTGTCTCTCCAAGAAATCCCTCTCCTCCTGGGAGGTCCCCTTCTCCCCAACAGCTTCTCACACTGTTTCCACACACATACTCTGAGCCCACCAAGACCTTGACTTTCCATAGTATCTGAATATTAGCCACGCCATATACCATCCATTCAAACATCTAAAGCTATTTCGTCTTCTGTTAATTAGATAGCTTCTTACTGTGTGTATGTCATGTGCTAGGTTTGGTTTGGTCACACCAAGAATTGTGTGTATGTCAGAAATAGTCTATGTCCTCACATAGGGAATGTAAGTTGAAAAATACTTTGTGTGAAGTTATTATAAAAAAATCATTATATTATTTCCCACTGGAACAGGTGTGCATCAGTTGCTGTTCTCTTTGCTGTGAACAGTGCCTGGCAAGGAATAACTTAAAAGAAGGATGGATCTATTTTAGCTCACAGTCATAGGGGCTACAGTCCATCGCAGCAGCGAAAGCATGGTGGCAAAAGCATGAGACAGCTAATCACATTGCCTCTGTAGTTAAGATGAGAGAGAGAGAGAGAGAGAGAGAGAGAGAGAGAGAGAGAGAGAGA